GCCATTTCCTTGCACTACCTAAACTCACCTGCTACTTCTCTGTACATTAGGAGACACTGCCCTACTGCAAATTCTGAAGTAAGAGTCAACTGAAGTGTGGTCAGCTCTTAAACTTAAAATGTGGGTGTGCCATCCTGTTTTTCAGATAAGGAACTGAAATCTCTTGGGATGAATCTTGTGCCTGAGTTGTCCAGTGACTGCAATGTTTTTCAGCTTCCAAGACTGAGTTGGGCTCTCTTATGTAGGCTCAAACTAGACAATGCCTTTCATATGATACTAGAAAAAAGTTTCCTTAAGTGCCATCCCGCCTGCAAAAAAAAGCCTGTTTTGTAGACACATGCATTTTGATTCTGTCCCATGCCTTACATCCAAGCAAATTTTGTTTTGTGATTGATCAATGAAAGATAAATGTGGACTTCACTCACCATCAAGTCAGAACCGACTTATAGCAAACCAGTCGCCATAAGTTAGAATTGACTTGATTGCACATGATTATAATTATTAACACAGCTTTCAAGGTAAGTGAGATATTTAAGGGGTAGTTTTATCACTTCCATCACCAGGTCTAATTACTTAGTCTCATACCTCTGAAGAAACATACTGGGGGGAGGGGGGAGGCTACCGGCAGGAAATATACATTTTCTCTAATGTCTAAGACTGCAGTTCCCTAGAGCAGTGGTTTCCAGCCCCTGGTAACCCAGGTCTCCTTGGATTGCAACTCACAGAAACTCCAGCCAATACAGCTGAAGATGAAGACTTTTGGGAACAGAAATCAAAGAACACCTGGGTTACCCAAGGTTGGGAACCACTGCCCTAGAATCTAAAAGAAATTGAGTTTTTTTTTAAATTATATACTTCCTTTTGTGGTTTATTGGAAACAAAGAGTTTTGGCTCACTTCTCGCAATCATAGTCATTGTTAAATCTTTGAATGAATTATATTCCAGCACTAGTGAAAAGATTACTAATGCCAGTATAATTGTTTTCAGCATTATAAATGTGCAGTTAGTTGGTGGAACAAATAGATTATTGTGTAAAATAGATAAGACTAATTAAGCATGTCAGCTCACCCAAGCCTATTATACAGAACAGTTTATCTCATTTTGTTAAATAGATTACAGCTTACACATAATGCTGTTGTATGCTTAAAACACTGTTAAAAATTAAACTAATTGCTTGACAGGGAAGGCTTAGATGTTCACACATCTGGAAAGATTATTCAGAGTATGTATCTGCAAGGCTTCAAAAGACAAATGATAGTGGGATAATTACAGACCTATCAACTTTTTCTATGTTACTAAAAACATCGTTATTTTTCTGAAGTGAATACTTTTTATTTGGCACTAAACATTATTCTGTCTTGTATCATGACTTTACTTGGGAATGAAATTCCACTTAAAATAATATATTTAGGATTAATGCATTATATTCACAGCAGCAGTGACAGTCAGAATCCTGTTGTATTTTTTTTGCTGACATAAAGCCAGCAGCATAACTTTCAGTGGCAATTGCCTTAAGTGAAGAAGTCAGGACAGGCATTTTCTATTGACCATTCTAAGTCGTGCAGTTGATCTTCAATAGGAAGAGCTTATGCCAATGTACCACAGAAGGTTATATTAACGGAGGTATGCCAACAGGCCCAATTAATAAGATCCTGGCCAACATGTGAAAACTCACCACCATAGCTCTCCTCGGGTTCAATCACAGCAAGTAGATTGATTTCTTGACCAAACAGCAAAATAGTATGGCTTTGGCTTATTCTTAGCTCATTTGCCCAAGATGAAAGAAGGGGACCCATTCAACCATTCTCTCAATTCTCATGTGAGCCCTTAAACCCTTATCCCTCAGCCCCTAGTCTAAATGCAAAGCTTCCTCCCTCCTTATTGCTTCCCACCTGCTTGACATTAGCTGACACTGACCCTGTGCTCTGTAGTGTGGGAAAGATAAAGGGAAGGAACATCTCTGACACAGCTATGGTCAAAGCTTGGAAATGTTACCTTTTAGGGTCACAAGTACAGAGTTCTGAAATTCTGTAACATTTCCAAGTTCTGGCTGTGACACTGTGGCTGAAAGCCTATTGTGGCAGTTATGCAAAAGGCATAACTTTTAGATGTAAATCACTCTAAGTAGGAAAATCTGCACACTGCTGCATGCTGGGTAGCAGAACTCAAGATGCAACAAATAATGCCTACAGACATTTCTTAACTCATGAATCTTTGTATATGGAAGTTAGGCCTTCTGTGTAACTGACTTCAACCTGTGTTTCCACCAGAGGCACCTAGCTTTCTGTTGTAGAAAGAAGCAGCCCAAATTGTTCCACATCTCCAGAGAAGCAGCAAATCCTGTAACTTCCTTCATACCAATATCTTCTTCTGTGAGGCTGATTTCCACACTAGTCTTTAGCACAGAAAAGGAGCACAAGTTAATTTTGCATCAAAATGTGCTTGAGTAATCCTTGAGAGCATGGAGCTTTTGTGACAAGCTAACAAGAAAAGCAGGGAAACTGCTTCAAGAGGTTCACCTGTTGTCCAGTAATGGACAATCATTTCAGCTTGTTGAGAAGTGCCTTAGGAGAAGAAACACTTACTCTTTTAGTACTGATGGCTAATTCCAGCTAAAACAGACTGCTGAATCAATGGGTTTTACAGAAGTATTGAATTAAAATTGGATTTAGGCCATTGATTGTCATCACTTGCCACAATTTGAGGAAGTGGATATGCAAGGACTCTTATCTCTTTCCAGGATTCAGGTTTTGCTTTGAAGCAGGTGGTGTCAAGTAGCTATTTTTGTGTAATTTGTACCAATCAAGCTAGCCAAGTAGATTTATTTTAGGAGAAAGGCCAAATGGGACAATTGCCACAGATAGTGAACATTCTCATTTCAAAAACAAACAAAGCAAGAGTACTGTTTCAATTATTATGCAACTGGCAGCCATAAGCAGGCTTACAAGGCAA